AAGGCAACCATTATACAGGGTATCCCCCTCGCTAAGAAGGTTTAAACTAAGTTTGGCAGACACTGCCTTCATCAGCCCTTCCGAACCTGGGAGATGGGGTTGAGGCGCCAAAACGAGACGAAAGACGTCAGTTGTGTTGCAGAGGGCTTAGTCTCAGGCGAGCAGCAGGGGAAGGGTTTTGGTGCACCTGGTGAAAAGACTAGTCTGCCGGTAAAATTTAATACAATGTGTTAAACAGGTTGGAGGAAGGTTAGTAAAAATAGCCAAAGATAAAACATCTGATCAATAAATGCAACAATGCAAGACGGCCATTTAGAGGGAGCTCCTGGAAGACTTGAAACGCCATTTGGAAAAGTTCACGGAAACGAGGTTCTTCTGGACACTGCAGCCATCAGCGTTCACGGAAGAGCTGTGGGACTCCTCTGCCTAAATAAACAAGGTCATAATTAGTGCTGATTAGGCATGCAGTACATGAGTTTAATCTATTAAGAGCACGGGACACGGAAACGCGCCTTAGAAGAGGGGTACCGTAAACTAGCAGTGCAATCGCTTTTAGGCATGTGGCAGCGCCGAAATCAATAGTTACTCTTGTGAGCGCCCTAAGACGGCAAGAGACAAGCTGCTATAAAAAATACTTAGAGTTCGGTGAACAGATTCGGAATGATCGGACAGCGAGTGATGCGTTGTACCTCGAATCCACGCAGACCACTTGGAGTCCCCATACACAACAGTTGGATAACTCGAACAATTGCGGCACAAAAAGCCCACAAGTTTCACACAGATATGCAAATACGAGTGTTAAATGTGCTCGCTTGGGGAAGAGTTAACACACATGTGGTAATCGGGCGAATTCGGCCATCCAAGATCTTAAGCCGGTCTTCTAGCAACATTGACTCCTTCCCCGAGCTATGCAGAAGATCAGGTCACGTGAGACAGACTGTCTGTTGAGCACAAAAGCGTGATCTTTTTCAGTAAGCGGCGTAAAAAGTAAAATGGTAAGACGGAAAAACGGCAAAAGCTGGAAGTAACCTACTCACAAAACTTCAATAAACCCTGTCTCTCGTGATCACATCCATGCTAACGCTTGCATTTCGGTGAAATGTAATGAATTTGGAACTCAAGTAAGTGTG